TATATATTGCAGTATATTCTGGCAATTTGCATATCCATGAGCTGATACAAAATTTTACTTTAACAGAAATAATTCTTTACTTAAAGCCAAAGAGTAATTTTTTGCTTTCATCTTATTTCTCTTTCATAATGTCTGTGTTTTCCCTTAAAGTCAACAGGATTTTGCAATTAGAAAGAATGAGAGTTTAAAAGTATACCTCATTACATGAATGTAGAAGAAAATGTTTTCCCAAGCATTTTACAGAATGTAATTATTATTTTTAAATACATTTTTGGAAAGTAACCTACAGTAAACAAAGATTTATTGTGACATAAATAAACAATGAGACAATTACGGCCTCTTTACGGAGACCATATTAGTCATGCACATCTAATGAAGCATTACTAAGCTATCACAGGGAGATAGCCTGATGTGTGTGATTAACAAAATAATACTCATAAATAGCTAACGAACAATGATGCTCCTTTAAAAATTTTGCATATCCTTCTATATGCAGAGTTATGGTTTTTGTCGCTTTCTAAGGAACACACTAACCGCTAAGTTCCACTCTGAAAAAGAGAATATTAAATAGCATAATGCAACTATTTGCATTTTTGCCTTCTACAGACCGTGCTTTTGAAAATATAAAAGAACTCTCATGGAAGTCTAGTAATGAAGAATACATTTCAGCTGGAGATCTACCCAAGGTGAATATGACAGAATAAATGGTGAAAAATTATTTTCATATAATATGCAGCCATGAAATCTCTGAAGTGGCATTGGGTAGAAAAAGTCTGTGTTTAGTAATAATTGCGGTAGATTTTTTACGTTAAAAAAATTATTTCCTTCAGGCGAGGTATATTTTTGGCACACATATCCTGGAGAAAGCAAGTGGGATGGATGGCCAACATACGACAGCAGATAAAAAAGGTACATTCATAAGAAAAAATAGGGCCAGAACCCACATGTAATGGCAATTTTTGGCATACAACAAGAGAACATCCTGTTAGTCAAATTAAATACAATTTTGGATTACAGAGCTAATGTTGGGGCTTTAACAGCAGAACAATGTGTGTTGTTCTGCCTATGCGAGCAGGCTCCTCCAGTAGATGAGTGAGTCTAACACTATATGCAAACTGCAGGCTTGCAGGGAGAACTCTTCTAAGCAGGGCTCTTCTATCACATTCTAAATACTCTGACAAGTATTTGAAAAGGAGTATGAAGGGACCTATTTAGATTAATCCATGGAATAGAATGATGAAATGTAAGAGAGGAGTGTTATCATTTCTATTGCAGTACTATAGATGAACTAAATTGTATCGCATCTACAGTCCAAACTCACAGCAAATCCTTCTTACATTTTTCTTGGTGAGATAAATTCTTCCCAAATGATATTCCACCTTCAACCTAATCTCCATCATGGATAAATTTACTCAAAGGGCAGAATTCCTGATGGCTGGAATAACAGCATTATTAAAATCAATATTTTTTGATGAATATTAGGTCTAGAACATATTAGAGCAAGCTATAAAGTACAGGGGAGAAAACCTTGCTTATCATTTTCAGTCGTAACACAACTACAGCCCTTCATCTGTAATGAATTATGGAGCAATTCCCCTAAATCATCTGTATGAAGTCAGCTATGACACTGCCAATTTTAAAAAATTTGCTAGTTTTGAGCCACAAATTGATTTTTTATTGTGATAAATTAAAATCCAATAGTAGCCTACAAGATACTAAACATACAGAAGCCTACATTTTTTCAGAATATTTTTTCGCTTTTCTATCACATCAGACTGCCGTTGTGGCAGACATGATAGCAATAGCCAATGATAAAAATCAAGAAAGAACACTCTAGAGAGGTAAACAGCCTTTCCAAATAAACAATACATGAGCACTGTGGCCCAAAATATCCCATTGGGAATTCCAAAATCATGGAAACACAACTAAGGCAGAAAGCATTGTGGGGGACAGGGAGGGCTCCTAAAGGAGGAGAAAGCATATGCAAGATTATCCAGGCTGCTCCCTATTAAGGGCATATTTTTTTCCCTGTTGCACAAACATGAACATCAGTCTCCAAACTTCATAAACTCTTAAGTTTAACATGGATATCAGAACATCTGTGTGACCAGAACATAACTTTTTTGCAACCTCTCCTGCTTCCTTCCCATCAAAGAGCCAGGCTGAGCAATTGTACATCCCCCATTTTGCCAGCTTGTGGGATTTTCCTTGCTGCTTCTCAATCAAGAATGAGATTATCAGTATCCTGCATCACCTATTGCATCGTCATTATTTTGCCTTATAGGAGGCTCCACGTTATAGCAGTAACGCAGCTTTCTTTGGGGGTGACTTTAGCACACAGACATTGATGTGAGACTATGCAGATGGTATTATTTACTACTATGACAGTTGACTTCTCTTAGCATTACACCAGGACAAGCCAAAGCCATATGAGTGAGACACAGTGCATCACCCCTAAGTATTTGTCTCTTGTGCTGTGGAAAGCATCTTGCCTCACTAGTGCTCCTGCAGGCTCAGTGAGCCCAGAGGGACCATTGGGGTCTGTGCGTGACCTGTTGTTGACGTCACTCAGTGTATTTCAGATGTTGAGATTGTACGTGACTACCAGCAGGAACTGGAATGAGATGATAACCGTAGATTGGCAAAGCAGAGACAGGCTAGATGAGAGAGACTATGAGAAGAATGGGTCAAGGATGTGAAACTTTGGGATACTTTTCCCCAAGCTGGGGAAAAAGTCAAAGGGATGGTGGCTGTGAATAACCAGCAGCAGAATTCATGCACCCCTGCTTCAAAACCTTGGCATGGAAAGCATGATTCTCCTGCTTTCAAAACAACACGTAAAAACTGATGTCGAAAGCTCCCCACATTCCTCTGTCACAGTTCTGTTTCAAGAAGGACAGCTCAATACTCCTGTCCATCATGCCGGCAGCTCAGCGGCAGAAATCTGGAAGGTGGATTTAAAGGTTTCAGTCTAAGCCTCAGTGAGTGAGTGACAGGGTTACTATAAGGATGATATAGTTATGTCAGATTTAGAGTATAGGGTGTCAAAGTTATGAAATGAAGGAGACTCGTTCTCATGTGCCCACCTCGCTAGCTGCAAATAGGAGAGTGTATAGGACGCTGCAGAAAAGGCATTTTGGCTAAACCACACCTTTGTTTCTAAAACACATCCCCTTTTCCCTCTTTATTTTATGAAAAGAAATCCAATGGTTGTGAAACATTCAGAGCCAAGTGCAAAAGGACTAGTCTGTCTGTCATCTTTTTTATTTTTCCAAGACGAGGCTTTAGTCTTAGGAAAGTAACTGTGGCCTCAGTGCAATCTGCAGAGGGCATGGCAAGGCAGTAGGCTGCACAATGAAGAAAAAGAAAAAAGTATTACCATATTGTTCAGTGTATTGCACTCTGTCCTGTACACTGAATAAAGCTGCTATTCTCTGGCCAAAAAAAGGTGTGTCATTGCATAGTTAAGTACTACCCTAATGTCTATTTATTAGAGGACCCAACCACGACTGCACTGGCAGCCCTAATTCTGACATCTCCTATCTTCTGAGCAGAGGCTGTAACCACAGCAATGTTCTCTTAAACACTGCTTTTGTATGAATACTTTACACATGCTGTACACAACACATTCCAAATGAGCTTTTCATTACTAACTACTTGTATTATGTATCAGTGAGCTCAATGACATTGATTTTCTAATAATATAAATTAACTGGCAAAGATAATTTCATCTATCATCAGTAGGGTTTTATTTCTGGCATCATGTTAAATAGTTAATCTTTCAAAAGATTAAATCAAGGGCTTTTTAAAATTCAAGGAAGAGCTTAAACTGCGTAAAACTCTTCTTAATTAGGATTAAAACAGTTTGTGTGTTGTTGCTTTGTATCTAAGTAGTATAATGTTTTGCTTAGGTTTCTCCTTTCAGAGCAATTTAAAAAAATCAAACATGATATTGCTGTGGCAAAAACTGCGTTAGGCATGGAAGTCTCCTGCAGCTTCTTCGGCCAGATGCTACTGGATAAGTTGTTGCTTGGCAGTCTCAAACAGCAACCTCAAACTTCCCAGTATCTTCTACCTCCAATTCCGTACAATACATACCTTTTCTACCACTGACAATAGAAAAGCTCTTATTCTTATGGTTACTGTGTACCGCACAGAAGTTCGTCATTGCTGTTAATAGGAGTATATCGCATTACAGTGACTACAACTGCATGCATGTGGAATTATGGACCTGATAGAAATTCTTACAATTCCCCTGAGGCATCTTCAGTGCAATCCCAGCTAAGTGTGTCCTGCCCCCAGGAGCTCCCCAGCTCCCATTGTCCTTCCTTTTCTCTCTCCATCCCAGGCATCAATGGGGAAAATAAGCTCCACTCTCCTGGAATTGGCAGCTCCCTGTTCCAGCTTGTTTTCTTCCCCTCGGCTTCCCATGACACAAGGAGCCCAATTCAAGGCAATCCTAGCCTCTAATCCTAATCCCTTGTCATTAGACTCTCAAAAGGTTCTTGACCTGTACTGCCGAGGAGTCTTAAGCAGCACCCAGAGGACAGGTGCAGTTGGGCCCAGGCTGGATGAGAAAACCCATACCAGCACAGATACCAGTCTGTACCATGGACTGCTAAAGTCTTCTGCAAACAGTGGGCTGGTATTTCCAAGAAGCAATTTTTTATCCAGCAGAAGGAAAACAAATCCCTTCTTGCTACTTTCTGGACTCATAGCTGTGAGTGTTTACGCAGGTAAGGAGCATCTGTGTACTCAAGTAAGTGGTTCTGCAGAAGTATCCAGGACAAGGCTTTACAATAAACCATATCCCCACGCTACACTTTACACTTCAGTTATCTAACGGCTTGCTCTGATATATGATAACCTTTTATCAAGCTTCTCAGATGCTTCATGTGTGCTTACACTGGTGAGATATTACTGCTCAGCTAGGAAACGTTTTTAAAGAAACATCCATGAAAAGATTCAATCTTGTTCCATCACATGATTATTTTACTTACCCCTGTCTTTTCATCAAAGATTTTGATTCCCCCAAAGGAGACCGTCAAGAAGATTTTTTGTTTATGTTCTCCTTTCGAACGAGCCGCAGCAACAATTCCCTATTGAAACAAAGAACAGTTTGGCTGGTTTCATTACTCTTCTAGGTGCCACGGCAAAGCACAAAGATTTGCTTGTGCGCGATTCACCATTTTTCTAGGAAAACTTCAGGGCTTTCCAGGAACAGTCCCTCTCTTACTTCTGGCCTCCTCTCCTTTTTCAAGGTACCACATCTCTTTATGCTACCCAGACAGCATTTCAAATGTGCTCCCACTTCCAACCCCTGCACAAGCTAATCCTCCATGAAATTTGTTTTCATGGAAGTTGAAGGTCATTTCTAGCACACTTTTCCCAGCTATAAGATGTTTTGTTTTCTTTTTTTAAAAAGAAAAAAGACCAACAAGCAGTGGAGGAAAAAAAACGTCAACAACTTCAGCTTACTTCATAGGCATATTTATCTGGAATAAGCAAATTGAGGTTTTTATAGAAGAAAAATATTATTCTCAAAATCAAACTACACCTCGGCTGTAAAAAACTGGTATTGAGGGTTTGTTTTTTTTTCATGATCTCAGATTTTGACTTTGTAAGTGAACTTGCTGATATGCATCTCCTGTATTATTCTGCCACAGCGTAACTATAACAGTAACTCCTATTTCCACTTTCTCAGGAGCCTGCCCTGACCAATAACACTGTACTAAGATCAAATGTAATCAATTGCACTAGTAAATAAATGAAAATATTTAGCCTTTATCCTGTGCTCTGCGATTTCAACATGTTTTAAGAACGACTAACTTAAGTTTTAAGACCTTCATGAGGTCATTGTTCCCATTACACAGACATGAAAATTAAACAAAGAAAATTGAGTCATTTGTCAAAAGTCACCCCAAAACTTTATAGCTGGCCTTAAAAATGATATTGTAGGACACGAGGTTTCCAGAGCCTGTAACTTCATGCTGTGCTGCCTTACATACAAACATGAATTTCTAACGTTCCCTTCCCTTAATAGTTTTAGTCATCTCCCAGTGCTGTTCAGATCAATCTCGCCACTACGCGAACAAGTTATCAGGCATCTGGGAGATATGGAAATGGTAATCCATGGAGGAGAGGGACAAAAAGGCTTGTGCAGTAGAACAGTGACAACTCTCCCAAATTGCTTCTAGGAACTATGAAACGATGAGAAATATCTAGTATACAATTAAAACAGATAGGCATATTGTGGCAGATGTGACATATCAACAGTGTACCTTTTAGAATAGATTAGTTTTTGCTTGCCATAAAACGTTCATAACTGATCTGTAAATTATCTACCAGATCTTGCTTTTAGACTGTTGAACCATGAGATTCATGTCACCCTTTGCTGTTTCTTCATGAATAACTTATTCCTCCCGGTTCCTCGGGACTGGAACCCTGCTGGTTGGTAGTGTAAAAGATACCATTGAATGATTTCTCCTCCTGAAAAAATCAGTAATGGAAAATCCATCAGCTCTCTTGGCAGAGTGCTGGGGAGAGGATTGGAAGGAAAAAAACAGGAAAAAACTGCAGAGGGTTTACTCTTAGACCTAGCTTGTAACCCTACAATGCAGATGAGAAGCCAACAGCCAACACTGCACTCAAGGAAAAGACAACCCATCCTTTCTTCTCAATGACTCCAGCTCTTCCACATGTCCCAGGGTGAGGTAAAGGATGCTTCCTACAGAGAGCTCTTATGCTCTTTGAGGGTTGTAAGAAAAGACTGAGCCAGACAGAGATGTCTATCAGGCTCCAGAAAGTCCACCCTCCTATCCCACTAGTGCTTTCAGACTCTGTCTACTCTCTAAGTTTGCAGTCTGCTCAAAATCTGCCTTTGTCACTGCTCCATTTCTTCCCCAAAACTCTGAGGACTCTCCTTTATGGTCTCATGCTCTGCCCTCTCAGTACACTGCCTCTTAATTTTGTAACCCATTAATCCTGCTATTACAGGTGCAAGACATTCTGCTCCCTGTGAGGACACCAGTTCCCCCCTATATCTGGCTACCTACACCCCACACTGTCACTCACCCCTTCTTGCTTGTCCTGACAGGAGGTAACAGCCAAAGGCAGGACTGTAGTTGATGAGCATTGTCATATAAAATGTTCTGATATACCATTTTTCTTCATAGTGGTTTACCTCCCCTTTTGCATAATAAAATTATTCAATTTGCAGATGTGTTGTTTATAATTTGTGGACAAATTGCAGTGGTGTCAATCATGAATAACTACTGAACTCAGAGATAATGTATTAAAATTAAACTGGGATAAGCAATACCAGCCAGGAGTTCATGTAAAATTGACTGATTTCAATACATAATTAACCAGAGTGAGACTCAGTGTCATGCAAGGAGAATGAGTAGAAGTTCAGTCCGAAATTTGCTCCCTTTACTCCATAATATTAAACATTAAAAATTTCACTGCACCTTGAGCTTCATCATGGAGTCTTGACATAACTTGTCTCCTCGTGCGGCAGAAACCTCATCTATCCCAATCAGTTTTGCTTTGTATCGGACACCGTCACCTTTAAACCTCTTTATTAAAGTGGCTTCACTGCGATCCTGACCTGAAAAGACATAAGGGAAACAAGGAAATTTATATGAGTGCAAAAGAAAATAAATGAATAAATACTGACAATTAAGTGGAAATTATATCTAACTCCTACCTTAACACCTAAATGTGCAAACATTTCAACAAAATTAGAAAAAAGGTACTAGTTCAATAAAACCTTTTGTCCTTGTTACCTGAAATTAATTCACAGTGGAATTATTGCCATACAAAATCTTTTGCGTGAAATTTGCACACAAATTAGGTTTACAGAAATAAGAGATAAGCCTGAATCAGACCTCATGGATCTGAAAACTTCTGATCTGTATGGGCTGTTTTAATCCCAATATACTTGAGATTTCTTCATTTTGCAGACAAAACTGTAATAGAAACATGCTACCATTTCCTCATATACCAACTTATCTAACCATATCAGCAATATTTATGCTATTAACATTGGACTGATGGAAAAACAAATGATGTTATTTGCCTATAGAATATTGCTGCTCTAAAACCCCCACAAGAAATACTGTCTCCTTGTTCTATTCTTTCTGCTTATAGACATATACAGAAACAACATAACCAGCAAAGCCAGCTCTCACAGGCGCACCCTGAGAAGCTTAAAAGAAGGCACAAGATGTTTCTCAGTAAAAAAACAACCAGGGGGTAAGATAGCACAGTACTGGTAAGGTCAATTGTGCTGGTTTTGGCTGGGATAGAGTTAACTTTCTTCATAGTAGCTACCATGGGCTACATTTCGGATTTGTGCTGAAAACAGTGTTGATAACACAGGGATGTTTTACTTACTGCTGAGCAGGGCTTACATAGAATCAAGGTCTTTTCTGCTTCTCACCGCACCCCATCAGTGAGGAGGCTGGGGGGGGATACAAGGAATTGGGAGGGGACACAGCCGGGCAGCTGACCCCAATGACCCAAGGGATATCCCATACCACACGATGTCATGCTCAGCGTATAAACCAGGGGAAAAATTTGGCCAGGAGCCACTGCTTGGGAACAGGCTGGGCATCAGTCGGTTGGTGGTGAGCAATTGTTTTTCATCTGCATCACTTGTCTTTCTGGGGTTTTATTTCTCTTTCTTTGTTATTTTCCTTTTTATTGCAATTTATTATTATTTTGTTTGGCTTTGTTTCTTTTCAATGATTAAACTGTTCTTATCTCAACTCACGAGTTTTCTCACTTTTACCCTTCCAATTCTCCTCTCTCTCATCCTGCCTGGGATGGAGTAAGCGAGTGGCTCTGCGGGACTCAGTTGCCAGCTGGAGTCACACCACGATACCAATGCACATAAATTACAAGGCTCAGACTAGCCTGAACCACACGACGATGACACTACAGCAATCCATGAAAGGGACATCTTTGTCAGGTAGACTTTTCCCCTCCGAGTATCTGCAGAAGAGTTTCTACTGTGTCTTAGCTGGAAGAAATATGTTAGTTAGGGAATCAGTTTTCCTAAAATTGATTAAAGATATATTTTGCAGCTGTCTGTGGAATTTCTTGCTAGGATCTCAAAAAAACCCAGCAGTGAACTGTAAATAATTGCAACCAAACACGTAAACAACATCCACAGCACAAAGAAGCAAGCAAAATGTGAGATCTTAAAGAATTTGAAGTTTCTTGGACCCAGAAAACTTGCCTAAACATGGACTGACGTTGCTAAAATTTATACTATTACCACTAGAAGCTCTAGTCACAGATTTTGCCCCATCCTTGTAGGTATTGTAAAAAATGAACAAAGTGCTAGAGTCTGCTATAAATGAACTGCAAGTAAAAATCTAGTCTTAGATGCCTACATTAGAGAATTTTGGCCCAAATTTTCTCCAAAGCTCATTCTTATTTGAAAGGTCATATTTAAACAGCGAAAAATCAATAAAATCTGCTTCTGTGTAGCTGGTTTTTGATAAGCAGAAGTACGGAAGCTCTGGGGAAAAAACCTATTTTGTTTTTCATTTCTATTAAAAGCACTTTTATCAGCACTCAACACTTGGGTCAATTTTGCTAGTGTTACACACTCATCAAGTGGATGAATAAACTAGGTTCAAAACTATGGAACTGAAATTTTTATAATACCATTATGAGAAAAATTAGAAGCATATATGACCAATGAAGAATAACTCCAAATGAAGATACTCCTTTGGTTCTCCTTCCCCCAGAGTACAGCACAGTCCATGCTGTGAACTAATGATGGACTAATTGTATGTCAAAAATTAGAGCTATTTTAAGCATATTGAGATCTTTGAGCGTGTTTAAGCACACAAATACTATTTGTTTTAATGACAAATATCAGCTCAGAGCAATGTTTTAATGTCTCACTAATAGCCCCTTAAAAATAAGGCAGCTGTGATAGTTCAGCGGTCACCCAACTGTTTCCCTTGATTTGTTTTCACTCTTGCTCCCTCTAAAGAATTAAATAAGGTTGAAACTTCATGGTCTTACATTACATTTTATTTAAAAAAATTAAAAAACTAATGAGACACAAATGATAAATCAGAAACTCGAAGTAGTGCCAATATGATTCCCCAGGGAAATGCCAAGGCAGATGTTGGCACCATCAGCTAAAAACAATAAAAAAACATTTTCCACTTTCAGCCTCCAGAGTGGGGCAAGGAGGGAGAACATCTGGAGACACAACAAAGTACAACGATACCAGTGGACTTTTCCATATGTCTTTTATACTTGCAAAGATATCCTGTTGATTTGCAGTAAATAAAATCCAATTCCAACAGCTTTCTTGCCAACAATTTTCAACCTTACATCTTCATTACAGCCAAAGGCAGCTGTTAGCTAATAGCATGAGCATGTGTTTCTTGGGTCTGAGTCATGATAGCGACCTTGCATTCATCAGTTATTTGATCATTTATACTTATTCCAACCTCTGATCTCTTTCGCTGCACATAACTAAATCCTTGATATTCATAGCCCATTCAAACACCTATGTCTGCTTACGCACAAGTCCCGTGTCAATTATGACCCAGATTAAGCAGGATAAAATGCTTTTGGGATAAATGACTGGGAAAAATCATCAACCTGAAAATGATGCAGATGTTTTAAACTGCAGTGGAAACTGCAAATTACTAGAGACTACAAATTCACCCGTAAACCCCTAGAGCATATGTCCTATGAAAAAGCATAGAGAATGCACACACACACTGCCCTATATTACAAAGGAGTCATCTGCAACAGTCACCACTTCTCAGCATATATCCGGATCTCTCCTGATCTATGCTCATACGGTATTTCCAAATTTTGGCGCGGTAATCAGCACTGAAAAACTTTCTACCTGCTTGGAAAATTACCATGTGACAAACACTGTCAGTACAGTCGATTTTATAGCGCTCATGAGATGTGAGATTTACGCGGGGTGATACTTCATTTGCACACTGGACACTTATAAGGTAGATAGTCCAGATTCTCATAAATATCTCATCATTAAAACAAAAAAGTTTTGTTTTTTTTTTTAATGACAGTTCTTGAGCAAGGCTGTTTCTGTGTTTGAAACTGCATAAATAAGAGATGCCTGAATTACGAGGCTGTAATTCTTGTTAAGCTTCGGAGGAGGATGAGCGGTAACATTAAACCACTAAACCAGAGAGCTGTGCCTGGGCCAGAAAAGCACTCAGGAAAGTGGTGTCTTTTTCCATGTAAGAAGCGGAGTCAATCTTTTCTTCTTCGCAGCTCCTGCCTTCGTCAGCAGAGACCTGCTGTTGCGCTCGGCTCCCCAGACACCCCTGCCACTGCACTTGCTCGGTCCCAGCCTGCAGGAAGGAGAATTATCCTGGATGTGGGGCTGCACTCACCGCCGGAGCTCGCTTTTATCCAAAAAAAGAGAAGCCGCATCATCAGGCTTTCCACTCTCAGCTTGCCTTCCTCAAACTACAAATAACATCTCAAGGGTAGGAAGGGGGACATTCACAAACCAACTAAGAAGATTTTATGGAAGGCTGAAGCTTGAGGTCTCAGATCATTACTAGACCATAATCTACACCAAAACTGGAAGCATGTGTTTAATGACAACCGCTTCTTTCCACAATACATTTCTTGAGATCTCATTTTAGGATTTCTTGACTAGAGAACACCACAGCTGCCAAAGCCACACTGCATGAGCGGCTGATGCCCATTCCCATTATCTACTGTACCCTGCACAGGTAGGGATCTGCCCACTGTTCTTCTTCAGAGGACCAGCACCGCTACATCATTCTAAAATGATCCTAAACTAAATATTTGTATTAAAACTTTCTAAATTTCAAGACAAATGGGTATTTTCCAATGGTTTGCTCTAAAATGTTTTCATAAATTGCTTTTCATAAGCAAAGAAATATCCCAAGCATTTGTTTGCAACTCAACACAAGCACTTTACCATCTAAAATGGAGTAAGATTATCAACAAAACTAAAAACGATTTGATTCTCATGCCCCAAACTGAGAAAAAATGCAAAAGCTAAAAACCCACTAACAACAACATCACATAAATTCAGTTTAGAAAGGTGATTACTTTTAATTAGAAAATGTGCCGCTGTTGACACATTTCTTTAAATGTTTTGTTTGCAGCATACAGGTTTACAATCCTCATAGGCCCTTAAAATGTAAATGTAAGAGTAATTATTTTATCTACTTCTATAGATGTCACCATTCACCTTTGAGCGGTATGTGTTCCAGCTGGACCCGCTGCTCCTGTGTGAGTAGGAAAACATGACCTTTGCTGCCGAGTTGTAACATTGCACTTGGACTTCCACAGTCTTTTAAGAGAACAATAAATCCCCAGAGGTGGGTGATGCAATGCGCTTCTAAGCTTGCATCTAAAGTAGAGAGGCTTATCATCATGATCAGTGGTAAGGTACTTTATCCATCTCACTAAAGCTACTGTAGAAGTAATAAACAAGGTTTTTAACACAGTCAATCATTTTCATTTGAGGCAATACACTTTAATTAAACTAAGATTTCCTCAAGCAAGCTAGAGGCAGACCTGAACCCAAAACCCCAAGTACTCAATCCAAGTACCTCA